TGCTGCCTTTCACACTGGTGGAGCTCTGGCTATGTAGGGTTAACATAAATCCAGGTTTTCCCAGACACGTCCTCTTTTTTGACCCCCTGTGCTGCGTCTGGGAGGGTTTTTAAAATAAGAACATATGTCCGGATTTTCTGCTCTCCCGGGCTGCCTGCCTGCAGATGGCAGCAATGGGCAGTCCAGGTTTTCCCAGACACGTCCTCTTTTTTGACCCCCTGTGCTGCGTCTGGGAGGGTTTTTAAAATAAGAACATATGTCCGGATTTTCTGCTCTCCCGGGCTGCCTGCCTGCAGATGGCAGCAATGGGCAGTGTGATTGGTTGTTGGGGGTCACGTGCTCCCCATGCAGGCTCCAGCAAGCTCCCAAGTGAGGAACAGAGCCTGCGTGCTGTGGGTCAGAAGTGAAGGGGCACCAGCAGGGAGTGGGGGGCAGGAGACTGCTGTTTGGGAGTGAGGGGCACTGGCAGGGCTGGGGTCAATGGCTTCGGAGTGAGGGGCAGCAGCAGGGCTGGGGTGGGGGGATGGCTTGCCAGTGAGGGGCAACAGAATTGGCAAGGGCAGGGCACGTGACAGGTGTCCTCCTTTTTTGGACTGGAAAATGGTAACCCTATGCTATGCAAAGCCCCATTAAAGTCTTTGAGGTTGTACATGGACTCTAGAACGTGGTGATGCCCAGTCAATTTCAGGATCAAGGTTATATGTTTCCTTTAATTACTTGCTCACCCTCATAAAACTGTAAATTTATTATCATAAGAATGATATTCTGGCTGTTCAGATAGTACCATATGGCTTCTATGGTTATTTTGAAATATATTTTTTAAGTGATGAGCCACTGATGTTAATAGGAATATGTGATTAAGGGTCCAATCTTTGCAGTGTATAAATTTAAGCAAGCACAGCTTCTTATACATGCATTTAAAGTTATTTGGGTAAACAATCCTACTAGATTCACTAGATATGCAGTAAATAATTTAGGGTGCAGATTAAAGTGACAATTTTTACCTGATCTGGCCACAGAAAGCAGTTTATAGCTGTGACCAAACACAAGTGTATAGCTGCAAACAGCTTCAAAAATGGTCAACTGGGTGAAAATCTGACCGCCCATCTGACCATTGCATAAGATATCAGATGAAGATGTCATAACTTGTGTCTGTAGAGCTCCCAGTCTGTCTGTTTTCAGAATAGGAGGGGGGAAAGGAAGCAGAGGGAGTTCAGTCTGAGGGGTTTGCAGCGCTCCCGACCCCTGAGGGTTGGGTGGGTGTTTTGCAGCCCCCTACAATGTGGGGGCTCCAATTCACCCATTCCACCCTTCAACACCAGCTGGTGAGCCCCAATAATGAGTTTCCTTTGCTGCCTTTCCCCCTTTCCATTCTGAAAACAGGGAGGACTGGCAGAAAGCCCTGGCCCTTGCTATGGGAACCTGGCTGCAGGATCCCAACCAGAGCTAGATTTCCCTCCCACCTTGAATCAACAGTGAACTTCTGTTTGGTCTGGGGTAACATAACTCAGCACGCTTTGCAAAAATCATTTTGACTTACAGCTGGGACCTGCACTTCTGTCTGCACCCTTTGATCTTGATCTAGTGATTCTCAAGCAGGTTGCTGTAGCACCCCAGAGTGCCTTACGAGCCTTTCAAGGGTGCCGCAGAGTGCTTAGCACACTGTTAGATTTGCAACATGATTCACAAGATAAACCAAGAGATTTCAAATAGGAATCCATATTGTTAAAAAGGTTCTGACCTGTTGAGATCTTTCTGAGTTCTTTGCAGCAGAATTGCTCTATTATTTCTCTTTGTTCAAAAAAATTGAAAACTAAGAGCTGGCATATTCCAAGGGGTGCCCTGAGTCTGAAAAAAGTTGAGAACAACTGCCTTAGTTGCCTAATTTTACTCCTGTAAGTAGTCCCATTACAGTTAATGAGATTTCTCCCTTGTATAATGCACTCATGCACCAACGTGTCACAAGATCAGGATATAAATTGTTTGATTGTGATAGATTAGGTCATGGCTGTAAATCACAGTCAACTTTCTGAACAGTTTAAAGGCATGTAGTGCAGAGGTTCTCAAACTTCTTCTTATTGTGTATCCCTTTCCAGATTTACCAGCTGCCCCAGTACCCCTAGTAGCATATTTTAACCCCTTAAATGCCAGTTATTTTTATAATGAAAATTAATTCCACCATTACAGAATTTATCCTGCGTACCCCCTAGAGATGGCTTGCATACCCCGAGATGTACACATATCACAGTGTGGGAACCCCTAATGTAATGCCTTGCTGTAATGTAGGAGACTATTTAGTGGTAATAAAATCCTGAAGAAAACTCAACCATTATTAATCCTAATTGGAAATCTAGTAACAAACACTTACAGGAATTCTTTTCTTTCTTTAAAAAAGTTTAGGGTTGTCTTTTTAGTTTTTGAGATTTCCTTGGTAGACAGATACTTTATTAAAGTCAAAACTTTTAATGACAAAATGTTTGTGAACTTTGGATGACCTCATGCGCATGAGATACCCATGTGTCACGAGTTCATAAAACCACATGGTGGGCTGTAGCTTTCTTCTTAAACTTCTTACTCTTTTAAAATTAATTTCTCTTGAGTTTTCTATGTCCATACCTCTGAGAAATCATTAGTGAGAAGGCTGATCACACAGCAGATGGTAAGCATCTGTTTTTCTCCACCCCCACCCCTTTTAAACTACTAATAAGAATATCAGAGTTAGGCACTATATGAACTCAAGTTCAATACTCTTAGCTGATTCTTTTAACTGTTATATAGCATTAGGATATTCATATTGTTTACTGAAGGTTCTAGTGAATAATTCCATTATTGGAATCATTTAAGCTTGATTTGAGAAAA